GATATTCTTACATATTTGAAAAATGTTGCTTATGGTAAGCGGATAGCAAGAGCCCCTATTGTGGGCTATTCTTCAGGTGATTTTGTCCGGGGGAATATTGTTTGGGTGGGATTTTACCCAGAGGATTTTTGTTCGGAGAGATTTTTATACGGGGGACTTTTTCTGGAGGATTTTGTCCGGGTGATTTTAGGCACGGGGGAACAATTCCTAGAGCCATGAATGAATTTCAATTCCATAGTTTTTAGCATGATACAAAAAAGAAGGTAGGCGGCTCGACCCTATTAAGCTGGTATTTCAGGGTACTATTCTATATATATATAAGGAAAATTTGAAAGTTAGGGGGGGCTCGACCCTATTAAGCTGGTATTTCAGGGTACTATTCTATATATATATAAGGAAAATTTGAAAGTTAGGGGGGGCTCGATCACCCCGCTGCCCCTACCTGGCTACGCGCATGCTTGCAAACGTCAAGAATTTGAAAAATTCCTCTCAGCGGTTCTACCTTCCTATAAATAAAATAATAATATCCCGAAGTTTCCCGGGATCCCGGGATTACCAATTTAAGATACCGAAATCCCGGGATTCACAAAATGGTCCGCGATTGGATGCCTTATTGCTAATAAAACAATATATATTATATTTAAATACGTTTATTTCGTCGATTTCAACTATAAAAACCTCTATATTTTTCAACTATAAAAACATTTCTTTTATTAGTTTCAATTCCACCCAGCAACATGCGATGAGCTGATTTTCTCACTTGCAAGTTCTTACTAGCAAAAATTTATCAAGTAAAAACTAGCAACTTCTCAAAAATAAATGCCACTTCGAGCTCTTAATTTCCCCTTTCTTACAAGTTTTTTGGGTACAAGAACACCAAAACGTGAGTTAGTACAAACTGGTACAAACTATCGCGTACAAGAACGCTACTTTATACTCGATAAAAAAAAAATGCTCCAAACTACAATTTTAGTAAAAACAACCGAACCAATTTATTTTAGTATTAAATGGGTCCGCTACCAATTTAACGTGTTTATGAGCAGTTCAATCAGCGGTCTATAGAAATATGAGTACACGTGGAAACGACTTCTGAATTCTTGGCTGTACTGTAGTTTTACATATAATCATTTTAGGCAATTATAAATTAAACCCTTACAGCAGTAGAGTCAACCAACCAACAATCAGGCAAAAACCACCGTAGGGAGCGAATCGTGCAAAACGTTTATCTCCGGTGAATGCACGATAGTAAAGAGTGCCACTAAACAGGAATGTTCCAGTAAATATAAGAGTACCAGTCTGTAAAAGAAATAAAATCACGGATGAGTAACATAATTTCCGTGTTCGTATTGAATAGCTTGTCGAAAGGCTGGCTTTAGTATAATGCGGCATTCGCAGCATACGGTTGAGTACGGTACGGCACAAGCACCGAGCCGTTGAAGAACTTTTTACAAAGAAACGTGAAAGAAATAGTTTCGATATTAGAGAGTCAATATTCTTAATAAGCCACATCAAAAAATTCCTTGTCGTTTAAGAATATATGAAATGCCGCATTATACTAAAGCCGGCTTTCCGACATAAGCTACTATTCCATAAGAACACGGTCATTTGTATTATTATCTTACTAGAGCTGGATATCTTGCCAATGGCGCACCCAATAGGACTAGCGAATGGAAGAAATGAAAACGATTGGCAGTTTCAAATATAGTTTTGGATTCATCTTTTTCGTGGGATGGGGGCAGTTTATGGCTACCAATTGCACCGAGTATAACAGCCGAAGCCCCGCTTAAACCTGCCAGTCGGACAAAGTTGTGGTTGCGACCAGCGAGTTTCCATAATGGTGGTATAACGCTTCCCATTACTTTCGTGGCGGCTCCGTCGGTTGTAGTTTTTACTGCTGACGAGCTTGTACTAGCAGCCTGAAATTTTAGTTTGGAGAATTTTGAAAACAAATTTGTATTAAGTCCATACCGTTCCTCGAGTATACAAAGACGAAACCCCTGACACCACAGCTTTGCTCACAGGATTACCAATGGTAACGTAATGCAAATAATCAGTAAACGTCATTTAGTTTCGTTTTGCTAATTTTATCAACCTTTCTTTTCAGTCTATAATGCACATCAGTAGATATTCTCGCTTTAGCCGCAATTTTTATTTGCTGATATGCAAATTTTTATTTTAAAGTTATGTTTTAAAGACTACACACAATTTTTTTATTTTATAGAACAAAAGTTAATAAATGCAATATAACCGGCAAAGCATATATCGTTTTTCGATTATTTTTTATACGTCACCAATAAGGCGAATTTATACAAACTCAAGGCGAATTTATACCATGATGCAATAATAGCAAGGTGTATTAAACAAGGTGGTGTTGGGGCGACAGCTGAGTTTTTCGCCGTGGAGGCCATTACGTCAAAATGATGTGTTTGTTGTAACTCATACCAATGACAGTATGGACATCAGCGTATAATTTGTTAGTGTAATTTTTTACTTATATACGGCCAACACCACCTTGTTAAATACGCCTTGAATAATAGGTTTGTATTGTTGCGATTATCCTGGAAACCTTGAGGGATTTCCCAAATATACCCGGGCTCGTATCGCTGGATTGTTAAATAAATGCTAACGATGACCGAATTGTAGTACAATTAACTT